ACACACACACACACACACACACACACACACACACACATATATATATAAATATATTTCCTAAAACAACAAACGTTTAACATTTATCCCCTTCTCTTCAGTGTGTCGCCTCCTCTCCGACCTAAAGTTGGGGATGACGTCCCGACATCCTTTTATGTCAACAGACGGTCCTGTGGTTCACTTCTGATGTACTCTGATGTGCTTTTGCACGCTAGACCGATTCTCCTTGAACCCAACCGCTTGAGCCCTCCAAGACCTGCAAAGACGCCGGGAAATGTTCCCGGCGGTAAACCTCCGACGCTCAAGTTAGTAGGGTATTCAGGAAGGATCAGTATGTATATTAGGGTTTTTTGGAGGTAGAGAGACTTAGCCCCCCATCATACCTGCGTTACCTATTTATATGCAAGTCCTTAGCTTCCTCTCCACGCTTGCTTCTTCATCCACAAATGTAACTGCTAAGACCATTCCAGTGCTAGCCCACCTCATCCATCTACCCGGCCCATTCATCTGGCCGATTCGTTTTTGGGCCGAGCCCGCACATTTAACAGACTATTACGTCTAGCAGACCCACAATCCTGCAAACATACTCATGGCTAATAAACTGAATTGATTCCTGCCGGTCTACCCTGCCGGTCTACCTCAAGTACTCTCTTGTGCTATATCATACTCAATTTTATGGATTTCACGTTTTTGGTAGAATTGAGCCTTGCCTATGATTCATCATCGAATTTATCTATTCGTTTAAGTTTTGAATTGGAATTGTCATACTTGCGAACTTTTAATTTGCGAGGTCTTGGTTTCATCTTTGGAGTTGGCGACCAAAAAGTATGTTAGATTGTGCCCGACAACTTTAGGGGTTTTCTCTATTTGCAGATGATTATCGACAACTTAGGGTTTGTGATAGCAATAGTGATGAGAAGCTTGTTGGTGGAAGGGTTACTTTGTCGTTTTATTTCGTGTTTGTTCTTATAATTTTATTTGTTTGACTTTTATCGTGGTTAGTTTTTTATAATTGGAGTGTATAGTCTTCCTCGTGAAATCTGGTAGTCTCATTTGGAAAGTGTGTTTGTATCATGTGTAATGTGTTCTAATGTTTGTTATAATCTCATTGATCACATGTGTAATTTTAAGGAGATATATAATAAAAAAAATTATTAATAATATTTTTAATCATTTGATTTAAATATTTATTAAAACTTAAAGTAAGTTGACTTTTTATGGTTTAAATTAATTTGCATCTATTCTTTTTCCATTTTCTTTTTCATTTTTCTTTTATGAAATGGAAAATAGGCCTTGGGACCCACATAGGGGAATCAATTATCTCAAATTAGTCGTTCTCATGTGGATCTGAAAACTCGAAGGTCATGTACCAAAAAAAAAGGAGAATGCTACTGTCCCGTTACGGGATGATTCCGTTGTGTTTTATAGCCGTAGATATACATGTAATCCAGTGATGGATAGTTAATTCAACATTTAAAAATACAACGAAACCATCCCGTAACAGGATGGTAGCATTCTCCCAAAAAAAAAAAAAAAAAAAA